GCAATCCGCTCAAATGCAGCAAAACTCGTTCGTTTTTGTGAAAACATGTTAATACATGGTAAAACATGGTAATGCGATGTAGTAGCCGTTCTGTTTAGCACACTTCTGTAGCCCCCCTGCAGCCGCGTTTAACATGTCTCATCAGCCCACGCTGCCCGGCCAATTTCAAGCGCTAAATCGCTTACTATAACCGTACTTATCGGTTTTGCAGCTGTAGCCGCCCGTTTCTAGGTTAAAAGTAGAGACGAAAACAAATTGACAGGCCCTCAAAGCTAGTGGAAGTAGAAACAACTGCAAACGTTAGAGAAAACGCGTTCGACTGTCAAAAAAGCGTGGAAATTTCTGGTTCCACCAAAATCCTACCGCACATAAAAATTAAAATAGGCTTGTCTGCCACATGTGTGTATATGCAAGTTAAATTTGCACCTCAGTGGCAGAGGAGAGATCATCTGAATTAGGAGTCTACGAATTACCTGAAATTTTGCTGTTTTGAGTTAAAGGCACAGTTCGCGATAAAAATGGTTTCTGGAATTCCCCAACAGGATGAATTTGAGGCCGTCGACCATATCTAGCACTATTAGGTCGGAAAATGGAATAGTTAGGGAGGCTCAAAGTAATGGCCCGTTGGTATCCCAGGACGAGTTTCACCGGCATTGTAGAGGCTGCACCGATCACAAGGAACCCATGTAGGAAGTTCAAACAACTTGTCATGACCCCTGGCGATGGTGGAAAACAGTTCTGTACAGTTCTGGCGTGATGTAGTCAGCTCTCTGTGCAATGGCAGTAATTGAAATCTCGTCCGAATTCCCCTTCCATTTTTTCCGTCATGGCAATCTCGTCCAACCTCTATTTCCCCTACATTAATGAAGCCATATTTTTCTCGAAATCGGCGAATTCTTTCTTCTTCACTACCGATGAATTACTCCTAATCTATAATTCCACTTTTCGATTAAAGACGGGTACTTCAGAATTATCGTGAACTGTGCCTTCAGGAAAGCCATTAGAATAGTAACTTTGAGGACTTGGGTCAACTTCTAAAAAGTCCAGCAGAGGAAGCTCTTGACCTTCTCCGTTTTTCTTGAGCTCTGCTAGAATATCTGTCTAATGGGTTTTCTGAGGGGAACGTTATCTAATGTTCCATTGTGTGTTCGTGCTGTTGGTTAGAATGACCTGTAGTTATGGCTCTGATTGAAGTGAAGCAAAAATTGCCAATTTTGATTTATTTCACCCTTAGACCGCACACACATGTTACGATGACAGAGCCATGTGATATATCTACATGCTTTTATAGTGCTGACTACTGCAATTCGGTGATAAGTCCAAAAAGGTCACGTAGCCGTTCTTATCTGGTAACTTGTTCGAATAATCTCTTGACCTTATCGCTTTTGTTTGGTTTTTTGCTATTCTCTTAGAATCTAGCTACTGTCACGGAATCTTAGGCGAAGGATGTTGCACCTCTCTATTTCACAAAGGAGAGACTGTCTGAATTATTTTAAAAAATTTCGGGAGAAAAATTATACATGCATATTTACTTCATTGATTCAAGGATGAATTCCGGGAGCGGTTTTTATTAGAGAATCCATTTTTCCACAGCGTATTGTGAAACCCAGTTCTATGGAATGCTCTGCCGTCCATTGAATAGCAACGAAGGGGGTGTCCGCGATTTTCCTTCGATACTTTTGTCGAAATGGCTGGCATTTAATCCGTCACTGATCACCTTTGATTTTGTGGAGTTTGTGGTAGACAGCGAAATTGTACATGCTTTCTTTTGTAAAAGAGGTCACGCCGTTGGCGGCACCATCTTTTCGGTCTTTAACATCAGAAAACTCCAAACTTGTATAATCGAATATTGTATCAAATGGCAAAGCTCTAAAGAAAAAATTTAACCTGAAGCGACGTATGGGAACACTACAAGGGGATTCAATGTATTTCGAACTGATCTGGGAAAACACCATAAGCATGCATTTGTGAACACTGCTGATGTGAGTGTTAAGGTTATTCAAACTAGACGGTGGACGTTCAGCTGCTGCTGCTTCTGAGTTTGCCGGGTGGATTCCCGAAATCGACGGGTCAACGGATTTCGTCAAATCCATGTGATTTTCTCAATAGAAGCACTAGTTTTTTGAATAAGCTCAAGGAGATCAGACACGTCGCGAGGCGATATGTCACACTTTCACTGCGTATCCTGAATCGGACCTGGCTCACGTTGAGCTCCTTGCGCGTAGGACGGTCATTTTCTTCCACCCCGTCCAAGCAAGCGGAACTATAACTTCGAAAGATCCTGCAAGTCGTGTAGACCTGCCAGGTACTCCAATGTTCTTGCTACTTCCACTCATGGAAGAATCAGATTTGAACGGCGTGTAAAATTGGTTTTTTTTTCTTGATCCTGACATTTTCAAGTGTTTTGTCGATAGTTCTCTGAAATTATGTAGATTATGTGTCACTGAAGGACACATTATTGGTTTTATAACATTAAATAACACGCCTGTTCAGTTTTTGAAGCAAACACCGTCATTCTTCATAACAATTGCAACATTAGTTCTCAGAATTGAACAGGTGCAAATGAATGAGGACAGAGGGATGCAAGACGCTGGGCTCTATTCCACAATCTCTAGTGCCTCTTGATCAACCCTGGACGGTCTCCGTAGTAGTGGATAGTCAACAAGTTGTGCAGGCTAAACAGGCCTCTTAACGTTACTGTCATATCCAAGTTCGTCTAGTCGGAAGTCCTCCCATATTTTAACCCTTGAGAAGAGATTTGAGTACCAATTCAGTTGAAAAACAAGGCTGATAATAACAATTTATTGGCTAACATCAGCCAATTAGTCGCTGTTATCTTGGTTACCAGTTGAACATTACAACACTTTTTCTGCCGTATGACCACTGAGCACCTACTTCATTTCGGAGAACGCCAGCATTGGGCGGCTCAGTTCTGTCTCGTCTAAATCCACAGTGTTCTTTATACTAATATCTTCCCCTCTTTCTATGCCCACGATTCGATATTCACGGCATCATCTAGAAAAAAAGCGTGACTTTCAGAAGAAGGAAAAATCAGTATGGCATCAAAATCGCACCATAATCCCACCAATACTTCCTACGACTGCTACTCTGGGAATAACAATATCAGTCGCTAATGATAAATAGCTCGAGGCGGATCGGGGTATGGGGATTGTTTTGGGAATTTGAAAACGTTTTAAAAGTTCGTTCATGTTAAACTGTTCCCTTGGAAACAGAGACTTTACTTCGAAGTATTTTTCTGTACGCCTTGGAGCTCGAACTTCCCCAAACTTCGGAGTGTAAATGTGACTGTTTTTACTCTACCAGAGAAAGCTTCTTCAGTGATAAAGCAGCTCTAGTACTACTTATCCTATGAATCAGTAAGGACCTGTCGTAGAGTAAAGGGCAATAGTCACAACGAGGATTCTCATTCGTGAATAACCTTTACCACCAACCTTTCAGAGATTCGTCAGTGTCATCCCTCAGTGTACACAGCCAATAGATAAAACATTATTGATAGATGTAATGCAAAGCCTATAAAACCTCTTACAACATATATAAACGGCAGAAGTTCGATTGTAAGGGCCGTGCATACTGATTTTTGTTGTTCAGTTGAGGATTATTCCAAAGATTTTGCCTCTAATACAAAACTAGTTGCTGCGGCGTCCTTGTAGACTATTCGTTCACTGCTCTAATGTTTTTCAAGTCCGTCAGTTCGAGTTACTTTCGTCGATCGGACGAGGCCGTTACAAGGATGCTTTATTACTGTTGGCCTTAATTCCCGACTTCTTCTTCTTTTTCAAGAGCCCGAGTCTGGCTTGAAGGTCTTTTTAGCGTCTTCTATGTCGCGTCGTAAACCAGCCCGAGTCAGACTTCCCAGGGATCTTTTCGATGATACAAGAGGAAGAACCTTACGCTCCTTGTAAGCCGTATTGAAGGGCGAGCTCTTCCGTCTTCTGTCAGCCGGACTGAATAGACGCCTTCTATTTCCTTTGCAGCCATCCTCTGGTTATACTAAGCACCTTTTCTTTTCCATCTCATTGACCTCATGCAGGAGGATAAAACTCTCTGGAGCTCTGATCTTGCTCACATTTGAACAATTTGTGAGTTCATCCTGAGGTACGGACTGAAATGTACCTCGTTTAGTACCAACCAGTTTTGGGTTTTTTATTTGGCAAATCACCAGGATCTACATCAATAGGGTAGAATTGCTATAGCTTGGTATGAGTGTGCAGTGATCCTGTCCCATAAACCAAATGGATGATACATTACTTCTATTCTCCTGAGTAAACTCACAAGTACGTGAGCGTGGTCCATCCGAACCTCTAACAGCTGTTCTACATGCCCCGAACAACTGCATTCTTTACAACTCAGGAATCTGCTGAGTTGACATCAACGAAGACGTTTTTTGAGGACCTTCTCGAAACGATATTCCACACTGAATGTTTCATTTGACTTTTCAAGATAGTTTGCTTCAAAGCTTTCCTCGTCGCCCTTTCGGAAAAGTAATCATTATTATCGATTATCGATTATTCAATTATCGAACTGATACTAACTGACACTGGTACTAAGGGCCGTTCCCTCCAAAAAATGAGCCTGTTAACCTGAGAGCTGTGCCTCTTTTTTGGGACGAAACTGACAGCAAAGTAACATGAATGTCACAAATTACACCACCTCGCCATCACACCCAAAGTTCATTGGATCAAGATATTCCCTTGACGATGATGCCAAATCAGACTTTTAGCTTTATTATAACCTAGTTAGATAAGATTAAACTTCACCAATCTGTGACAACAGTGAAAACAAATATTAGGCCTTCGAATACATCACAAAAAGCAGAAAGTTGAAACAGCAGGCAACAATAGTCATCACTTGCCGATAAACCTTTCTAACCAAAGAAGCATTATATCACCCCGCTGGAACAGTTAACCCGCAACAGATAACCAAGATTGAGAAGATCCAACTACCGATCATCTCCTTGACAACATCGGTACATATTTCACTTGGATTGCATTTCCTTTGAACGTTCCGACCCGCTCCACCCCTACTGGTGGAATCCACACACCTGCTGGACCAGAATAAATGAACGGTAGTTGTAAGATGTAGTACCTAAAAAGGTCATTGATACGATACTAGGGTTCACCTCGACAAACGCTTAGACACACCTAGCCCATGAAAGCTGCAACGGCGCTTCTCCTGTACCAAAGTGACCCTCTTGACCAGGTAGCTGGAATGAAATTCATCAAAAGATCACAAACGATCCTTGAATATTAAGTTATATTAGAACAAACCTCCACAACTGGTTGGATAGTTACAGTAATCGGCGCTTTTGGTGTCACTACGTGAACTCTCATTAATTGGGCGGTTTGCACGGGCAATTTTCGGCAGGTGCATTGCCGTCGCAGAGGAAAATCGCATCGTAAAAACTGGTCATCCGATTCTCGGCTCATGGCTGTTCGAGCGTTCGAATTCTGAAAAAAATGAGGGAAAGGTCACAAAGGGAATGAATAAACAAAGATGAAATGGCCTCCCCATCCATGGGGCCAGACAGCACAGCGACATAGTGGAAGCGAACAAGAGGGACTATAAATCTCAGACCTTGGAATTTTGCATCTCCGTTATACAAGGCCCACTCCTCATGGAAATAGCGCAAAGTTCTACCCAAAGATGTAAAACACCATACACCTCCAAGAGATCCTACGCCATTATACTTAACAAACTATCCTTGACTTCCAGCGAAAACCCGCTTCACTTAGCCACCTAAGACACAGTTTTTAATGATCAGGAAACACTAAACACGAGTTTCCCCATTCACAGATCCACAACCTATCTCGTACACGGATCTTCCACAAAGACTCACAAACTAATTCCCCTACTGGCTTTACCTTCGGCAGTCGAAGAGGTTCCCCATTCTCAGCCACAAAGAAACGATGACCACGCGGGCATTCGTACTCCATTCCGACAAATAGCTTCACCTGAAAACCAAACTGTAACTGCAAACTTCTGAACAGCTACTTTAATTATATCGTCTACAGCACCTTTTCGATTTCTGCAGGCAGTCGTCGCGCTTTGCGAGGAGGGGCCCGACTTGAAACACCTTCCACCGCCTGTACATACTGCATGTCGCGGTCCCATATCACAGGATCAACCTAAGAATATAACTGCAGTACAATCAGTTTCTTCGGTTTAATTTCAGGTAAAAGAGCTCAAAAGCTGATAAAACATCGAACCTCAAGTTGTACAGTGACTGGGTAGAGGTATTCGCCTCCTAACTTCAAATTCGGTTGATCACGGAGACCATAAGAATGTCTGAATCAAAAGGGTAAAAAGTGATCAAAAGACAGCGAAATCTCTCCAACAACCCTCTCACGTGTAGTAGTTGTTTGGGCCGATGCATGTAAGTGTCCATGACGGGAAAAGAGGAGGCAATGCCGGAGATAATGAATGGGGCACACCTTCTAGGAACGGAATCTGAATAAAAAATGGTCGACAAAAACGTCAGAAAAAAAAACGCTATAAAACGCCATGATGCAGTTATATGCAGCATCACATGGTCATCAAAGAAAATGGAATTGAAGAGAAGGTACACTATCGACGAACCTTTTTTGCCCTCAATTTCTTCAATCGAGCCTCGAAAGCAATAGCAGCTTCGTCCAGTTTTGTGTGGGGGTTCTTCACAAACGAAACTGAAGCCATGTTCAGATGAAATATAAACAAGTGGATTAGAATTGAATGATTTTAGATCGCTGCCGAAAACAAACCTGCTTCATCGTCCAGGTAGGAACGAGTATTGCGATAGTGAACATCGTCATCTTGTGAAGATTGAGAAGAGCTCTCAATTGGTTCAGGCTCAGCGTTGCTCACCTTAACGGCGGATTGCATGTAGCTTTAGACACAAAAACAACCTTATCAGGCTGAGTAGTAATGTAAATATCAGTGGACGTCTCGGATGAAAGCAAAGAAAAGCTATCAAGCTAGATCTCTTTGACTTATTGCCAATAAGCGAGTTCCTTATGATTGAAGCCACACTGAGCGCTCAAAAATTTTCGATAAATTTCGAAGTAATGACATGTTTAACTTACCGTATCTTCGCCAGTATCGCTACCAGTTCCCTCCTCTTCATCCACTTCTGCAGCACGATTGTCGCCGTCGGAATGGTGTCGATCTCTCGACATCGCTGCTGACACTGGAAACAGTGGATTCGAACCGCCACCTTCACCCTCATCCCAGTTGTCGTTGGCCTCCCACTGAAGATTTTCCATTGTCAAAGAAGGTTATATATAGTGAAAATGATAAAAACGACTTAACAGAACTGAGTAAGAGAAATATTCTCACCACTCCCTTTTCCGCATCGGTATCGTCGTCCTCCAATACTGCAAATACGTGTTTTTCCAATCCTGCACAACAAGTAAACACTTTGTTCTCGAAGTAGAAATCATAGTTGGCTTCCTAGAATATAATTTCTTTAGAAAAATAAACATGTAGGTACTAAAAATGGTGATACCTTCAGAGTAAATGGATCTCTGCGTACTGCTTGGCGTCGACCACATGAGCATGTCGACAGATACGTAATATCGTTGGAATGCATTTCCCACGCGGATGGATCAACAGAGGCATCACCTACGGTGGGATGAACCTTAACAAAACGAATTTTGGTTCTGAGTAACAAAACTAAAGAGTGGTCTAGAAGGTTAGTGAGGCATTGATACCTGGCTCTACAAGCTCACCATTCATTGCACCAGTCATAAAGATGAAATTGGAAATTGAAAAGGACTATTGTTCCAGTGAGTAAAAGATTATGAATAAAACCTTTAACTGGCAACGGTTGCCTGTCATTGACACTTGCTCGCAACCACGCATTCCCCCTTGCCAAAGATTGTCACATGCGGATCGAACTTGAGCGACAGCTTCTTCACGATCTCCAATCAGAACAGCATCAAGATATGCGATAGCCATGGCAACCTTCATGAAAACATTCTCATAACTAAGACGAATGACGAGTTAAAACAAATAAAATGTACCTTCTCGTCATGCTCCGCTTTAGTAAACACAACTTGGCTTCGATTACGGTCAGCTATGGCTTTACCCTTGCCAAACGTCGACGTTCCAGTGTATCGAGCAATCGCTTCCTTTATGTGTTTGGCATTGATCCTAAAAAAGCAAACTTCCCCTGTAATATTACACCACTTGAACCTATGTATATCAGTGTCTGTAAGGATATGAAGCAAAAAAAATTGGAAAACAAAATCTGGGTATTAAAAATTCAATTATGCAAGGTAAAATGAAGCACGTACACTTTCATAAACTGCAACTGCCTATTGACATATTGATTGAGCAACTTTCTTGTTAACATTTCGGAATCTGGTTTGATTAAATCTAGCAAGGCACGTGCGTATTTCACCCACAGCTCCAACTTGGGAATCTGGAAGTAAGAATGAAAAAACTTAGTATATATGTGAAGAACAAGATCAATTACATAAAAATGACCTCATAAATTTTTGATTTAGCCGATCTTAGAGAATCGATGTGGGAACGCAAAAATCTTGTGAACGTTGGTGTTTCTGAACAAAAGAGTCATCAAAGACGAAATCATTCTTGAAATCCCCAATGAGCAATAGGAAGCAAACCCAGTTGCCAGAAGATAAACGGGCCGAAAACGTACTTTCTGCTTTATCATCCCCATCTTCAGCTATTTCCTTTCCTAAAGCGATTTGAAGAATGTCAGATAATGGGTTAACATTCACCAGCACAGGTTGCATTACACTGACGAAGGCGTCGTTCTCAGGAACGTAACCTAGCGAATCGCCACTGAAGATGTGTGTAATTCTAAGAAGTTGAAGTAGGACAGTAACAATCAGCGAACCTACCTTGACTGTTCTACAAGCCTATAACATTTGAGTATAGAATATATCTGTGATTCCAGATTATGCTCCAATTTATCGCAAATTTCACGCTGAAATGAATTGAGAAACAATGGAAGCCAGCCAGGACAACGGATTCCTGATCACTAGATAGGACTTTCATTTGACCAAACTAGGAGTCCTTGTTGAACAGTTTTTGAAAAGACGAGATTTACAACTTCAGTTGAAAAAAAGACTTACCTTTTTCACATAGCCGAGTTCATTGCGAATGATATTTCGCTGAAAAGCGAATAATATACGAGGTAGGGCAAGACGACCCTCCCTTATCCATTCCGTTGCTTCATTTGATATTTCTTCAAGCTTTTCACTAACAGATTCTCGAACGTTTTTTCTGAACTGATAAATGTTAAAAGGCAAAATTTGTTCAGTCATTCACTATTCTGAAATCTTGTGTGAAGGAAATGGCGAAGAGAGCGAAATTTTAGCTCAGGAATGCTTGGTAATGCTCGCATCAGTTCACTCACTAGACAAAGTCGACTTAGCTTCTTACATTGAAAAACATCAAGGAAGATTTGAAACACACCTGATTTTGTTGACATTGGATAATGTATCGGACAGAGATATATCGAAACGAGTACTGCTCTCCACAAAGACAATGAGATGAGAAAATATGCACAAGAAATGAAGCAATCGTACTTGCATCTCCTCACTTTCAGCCATTTTTTCAAAAAAGTTCTGAAACATGCAAGCAAAGCTATTTGACCTTTTTCTGAATATATTTGTCTGAAGAAACTCATTGCTAAGCAAGAGTACAAGAGATCATAGCGTTTACAGTAATGTGTAAAGGTAAGATCGTGAACTGTACAATTAAAGGGCTGCCATAAATTGTACAGTTCATGATCTCACCTGCACACATTACTGTAAATGTAATAATAGAAAATACCTAATACAATATATAATAATATACCTTGTCTTGATTGGATGCGAATACTTTTTGAAGATGCGTATCATCACTGTAACCATTCATTACCAGAAATATAGCATTATTATCAAGGCAGAAGTAGGCTTGTATCTGGAATTTGAGATCAATTCAAAGATCCGAAGGACTTTATAAAGAGAAAGTCGCCAAAACTGAATTCGATAGCATCAGATGGGAATGGGATTAGCGTCAAACTATATTACCAACTACACTATATCATTGTAAGAAACTTGTAGGAAGGGTACACGTTCAAGGATTACAAGACCCTTAGCAGCTTCTACAACACCGAAGGAACAAGCTAAAGGATTGCAGTGAGTAGGGATTGTATTAGTACTCAGTTTAGAAAAGTTTGTAAGACCAACCGACATTGTATCCTCACTATCCGTCCAACGCGGAAACACGTCCATTCGTAACAAGTCATTTAAATCCTCCCCTTTCGAGCGAGTTATGGAATCTTTGCCCACCTGCAAAAACTTCCATGGTGAAGGAATCGAAAGTTTCACAGAAATGGTCTTGTGTTCACTGCAACCTCTCCTCAGGTATGCTTTGCCGTTAAGCTTCGAAACCCCTTTCTGCTCTTTCGATGTCAAAAGATGGATAACGACCTTCTGATCTTCTGGTGAAAGTGAACTTTCCCGCACTTCCTCATAACATAGGCATTGTCAAAAGAGCGGCGACAGAGGTGAGAAGGAGCTCATGCCAAGGAACGCGAATACCCACTGGTAAGTAGTTGATGCAACTAGAGTACGATTCGGGTAGGTACTGATGGTCGCGATGATTCCGATACTTCCCTTATGCCTGTTGAGTATCATAGAATACTGGAAAAGATATCCTATGTCTACGTTCAGAGATGGATTCCATAGTCCCATTCCGGTAAGTTCTAACATAAATTTGGCAAACCACAGGTAAAAGATTTTTAAAAAACTTACAAGGCTCACTACCAATACTTTCTTTTCCAAATATGGTGATAAGCAGTCTTCGGCCTGTTCGAGCCATTTCTCAAGCCTGAGTGCTCTGAGAAACGAGTCATCTCTTGACGAAGCAGCCATCCAGAAGCTGTTCGATCTGCCAATGAACTAACTACCTCGATGGGAATAATCTTCAAAGCTGTCAGAAGGCTGGAAAACAAAATATGCGAAAATGGGCTGGAAAACAAAAGAAATGAAAACGACTAAGAACTATTCCCTNAAAAAAAAAGGTATAGAAAATACAGATAGGATTTTGAGGAAGGCTAAGCTATAGAACAGAAAGAGATAATCGTCAGGTTTCGTCCCAATGAATCCCGATCAACAAAGTCGGAAGAAAGAGTATAAATTACAAAGGAAATACTAGCTACTATACACAACAACGGAAACACAAGTCGGCGTCAAATTGCATGCATTCTAACTACAGATAGGATCAGGTACCGTAAGCAAAAATGCACCTTCAGACTGTAAAACCTGTAGTAGTCAGTTACTGCGTAGTACTGCACGATGCTTATCAATCGAGTAAGTTTAAGTCGTAGGTGTTAAGTACTAGGACTTGTACAACAGCGTAGATACCTCATATTCATGATTGTTCTCCATTCTGGATGGCTTGTGTCACAATTATCCTTAATTCCACCATATGCCTATGGAAGTGGTTAGTGGCTGTATGAGTAAAGGATAGTACTCAACTTCGACTGACGGCGTTTAGTGATCCAAATTTTCCTTGCCATGGGTGTTTATCGCCTTCCTTTTCCTCGTACACAACAGCACAATAAACTACGCAAATAGTCGATTGTGCTTGGAAGTGAGACGCTCAGAATAGACCGCCAGACCATCCTCAGAGACCACCTGCGTCCATTCCGTGAATCTATTTCCATTGCCTGCTCACCACTTTAGTTTTGAAGAATACCTTGAGTTCCATCGAGTCAGTCGATTCCTTGCGTAGCACGGTATCTCCGAAGCACCACCCTCTCGGCCTCAGATTCCATCTGCACGAGCTTCGTGCTACTTTTTCTATGCTTTCAAAATTCAGACGACAGTTTAGATGAGGCAAAACCCAATTGGCTCTCGTGTTACTCCAGCCTAACAGTTCGTCGTTCACTTGTTTCTGATTCACGAATGGGTATATTCCGAGCGTTTATTGCTCTGACGAAAATGAGGAGAACGGCTCTATAAACTTGTCACGACTTCAAAAAACCTCTTTCTCGAAAGTTCAGGCAAAACGCCAGCATTCTTTCTTTAATGGGTTTTTGGAAGTGCCTTACAGTTGGATATGCAACTGCAGTCATTCAGACGCAGTAACACCGAAGCTTTCTCATTTGGAAAGTTTTGCATCTGCTGATTTAACCAGGTTGATCCAAGCTTATTTAGTTACATTTAATGGAGTGAAAGGGCAAAAAGTTGCTCTTATAGTTTTTGCTGCAGTGGCCACAGAATTTTGTTACCTGTTTCATTTCTGGAATACTGAAACACTGACAAAGTATTTGACGTTAATCAATCCCGTTCTGAGATGCTCAACTTTCTTTCAGAACCGTTGTAACCTAATGAATGCGTATTTGGCCAATACAATGACTTTCTGGGTGAGTATGGATCCGGAAATAGAACCCTGGTCATGAGCGTGTGATAGTAGGCCACATGCCTACTATCACACTCGGATGACGGTATCACCTCTTTGTCACCATAGAAGGCCACCTCCTCCGCCCATCCGCAGTAACAAATAATAATAAGGGTTCAGTGAAGGTCTCAAATCGTCAGTGCATATTTGAAACTGGATTTGCCAATTCTCGGTATTCAATTTGGACTGAAAGCAGGGCCACCAAGCTAGAGGGAATTTCTGACCAGGATTAAAGACTTCCTCGTTGTGATGGGCTGAAGAAGCTCATAAGCCCAATATTCTTCGCTCACACGTTTTTCTCTCTGTTTTCGACTGGATAACCTTTTTCTTATAATCAGAGATTATGTGAGAGGCTGAAAAACGCGGAGGGCTCAGAGGCAAAACATTTTCCTGCAAGAAGTTGCGTGCACGGATGAGTGCGCCAGAGGAATGCGGACGAGATCTTAAGAGGCAGTTCTGGGCTATTCACATGAAATGGGAACGTCACTGGAGCTTCTTCGTTGTTTTGTTGTTGCCGGTCAAACCATCACATTAGGACTTCCCAACTGCATCTTTCGAATGTGCCTAATTGCTCATCTTTGGAAACGGCGAACTTCCTGATCGAGATATTCGCTGCTGTACAGAACGAGCTCTAATCGTGAGAGAACATGATGAGGTTTGGATTGAGTTTAATGGGAACAGGACTTGAATTGGCTTTGCCAAAGTTTCAACCTTCTCGCTTAGAAACTTCTGGAGACGACGTTCTGGTTGGAGTGTTGCGTTGCACTGGAAATAATCAAGTCTACCAAGCTCAGTAAGCACGATAATACACATCGAATAGCAAATAACGATGTTCCACTATTAGAGTGGTCCAATCAACCGAATTTCAAGGGGATCCGTCGTAGAAGGCTGGATTTCTGAACGTCCTAAAGCTAATTTGTGAAGAAGATTTCCCTCCCATATTCCATCCCAACGTAATGGGTGTGCCACTACTTGGTAGCGGCCACAAGGACAAAGGAGGATTAAGGTCAAATGTACTAACTAAGAAAGAATGGTGACAGTTTCCACTGCAGAAGTGATTACGATAGAAAGATCGGGGGATAAAAATCCCACTTGGGAACTCCATTCAGACGCCTTCGCATTTTGCTTCCTCCCAGAATCGTCATGGCGTTCTGAAAGCGTGTGTCTAAACAATGACTTGAGGTGGCCGGCCAATGTACAGCAAGTGTTTTTATCCTCCCAGTCGAGTCTGTGAAACTGATTTCGGAGTAATGGAGACCTCAGCTGGCTCAGGCGAGGAAATCATACGCAAAACGTCATTGTTAGTTTCACAACTCTCACTGCTTTTTTTTAGTATGATTGATCGTAAACCTTCTTTGTTCTTATGACTGCTAAAGAACAAGGGTGTGGTCTCACAGAGCTGGATAGGTGAACTGAAAAGAACCTGTAAATCTGGGTCGACAACTTCTTCCCGTATGACTTGTGATATATGTACCTATGATGAATTTTTCACGGTGACTTTTTCATTCACTGGTTTCACATCTTTGAGCCTGAGTAGAAAGTAACTAGTTATGTCATTCTTATATGTACCGACTCCAGTTTTACTCAAATTTCATCTCTGTATTTGTCACGTCCACATCGACATACCAAAACCAAGGAGAGAAACACAAATGCAACACGAGAATGCCAGGGGAGAACAGAAGAGAAATCCAGTGTCATATTGAAGCGTATATGGCTTATACAATGACTTGCGCTAGCCAGCCGATGTACAAGTCAGTGCTTTCATCCTCCCAGACGAGTCTGGTACTTATCGACGACCTTGGAGGGATGGAAGGTTTGGTTGGCCCAAGTGGATATTGATCCGGGATTCGAACCCGTAACCATGCGTATGTGAAGTGCGTAACCTGCCACTACACCACCTCCGCTACTACACTACTATTCATATGTTCATCATTAAGGTAGCTCACCTGAATGACGCATAACTTAAGTTCAATGTAGATCTAATACATAGTTCTTGTTGTGTTGTTCTCCCCAAACCTGATAACCACGAAATTGGGCGAACGTTCCGGTCAAGCCTCTCACGAGCTCCGGGACTTTCGTGATCTTGAGTACAGAGAAGCCGTTTGGTGTTTGTCGCACTCGAAGCGGCCCTAAGGTAACTAAACTGTAGCCCACCTACGGACCAATCAGGAGGAGGTGGGGCAGTGGCAAGCGGCGCACTTTACACATGCATGGTCACGATTTCAAATCACGGATCGATATTCGCCTAGGCGGAGTTGAGTATGGCGCATCCCACTGACGGGATTGATTATATTATCGCCCAAGACTTTATGGTCCAAATACGTTTCCACTGATTAGGCATGTGAAGATTCCCAGTTCCCTTTTGAGAATCCATTCGTTGGAACAGGACCTCCATCACATTTCTGTTACTTTCCACATTGTCTGATTACATCAGCGTGGGCAGGTGATCGATTAGGCGAGCAAATAAATAGATGAAATCCCTCTTCAAAGTGTCCTTGAATTGTCCCGACAGAATTGAATCATCCACTTAGTGTAATACCATTATTGAGAAGTAGAAAAAAAGAACTGCAGCGACTTTCCGCAGACAGACGGTCATAGCGGTAAGCATTCGCAAACAAACCCCATAATCTGGTGATTGACGGCCATTACGTGAGAAGAAGAACTACCTATTTTTTCCTTCCATCGTAACGCTGGAGTGTTCTTCACTTTTGACGGAAACTAAAGGAGTGAAGAACAAAGACAGCTGGACAGCAACTTTCTCCTTCCCATGTAGGGCACAACCACTTAGTAGACATCGATATAATCCAAAAATAGATGCTTTTGAGAATTTTTACTTTAACTTCCGAATGATTGGAGATGGCAGTGAAAGTTGAACCCCTATGTAGCTCAAACGTTCTACGGATTTCGCCTTGATTTCTAAACGAGACACAACAACGGACTGTCAATCGGGCGGGGGTACTTCCCTCTAAATTCCCACGGCAAGCGATAGTGGTTTCGCGGCAACTACTGTGTCCTTCCACCAGGAATTCAAACCTTTCCCTTGTTAGCGGACGATTGTGCGCGATTGGTTGCGGCGAACGCGATCTTCGAGGAAAAGTTACCACACTTCGGTCAATCAATCAGCGATGGCAAAATGGGAAACCTTTACTCCTAAATGAGAATGAAATATGTAAGTGAGAGAACGTAGAATGACTTTCCCAATTTCAGCTTTCTCCTTCCCCCTCTGACCATCATGAAGAAATTTCAACACCGGCACGATTCTTGGAGCAATGAACATCAATTTGTTTAGGGCTCAGAGCTAAATTATAGTGGTCCGCTTTGAAATCCTACCATTGTGCTTCCAATGAAAGATCAACTGAATGAGAAAACAAACGAAACATGGGGGAGGTGAGGTATAGGCGTTTCCTTTTTCCTTTCGTTTCCCAAGTGAGAGCGGGTCCTCACTCAACTGGGTTAACTTGATTCCCTG